TAACATTAATAATGAAAAAGAAAGGTATATAACAATAAAAAATACAAAAATAAACGAGAAAGAGAACAAAAGAGATAAAGAGGAAGTAAGTGTAGTTTTATGTGTAAAATAATTATTTGAAATTCACAAGATGAAACAGTGTTAAATTAATAGCCATTATAAGAATGGAACCTATTGATTGTCATTTTTTTTAAGTTAATGAAAAAGTATTATATTTACACTAAACATAAAAACAAATACAAACAATAAAACATAACAATAATGGATATTTAGTAATATTTAAAATATATTAGAATGTATGCAAAAAGAAAATAAAAATAAACAACAAATAAAACAAACCAGAGAAAAAAAAATTATAGATAATAAATAATAAGAATAAATAATAAAACATAAAGAGAATAAATAACTAAAAAGCAGTTAATTAATTATTAATAGAACTTGAATCTATTAAGAAAAAAAATAATAAAATAAAATCAATAGAATATAAGAAATAGAATAAAACTAAAGTAATCAAAGTACAATATTGAAACATTCATTTTATTTCATAACCTAACCATATTATTTAATGGTTTAATTATTTAATAATAATAATGATAAATGAACATATAAAAAATATGAGTTATAAAGAATATAACCAAATAGAAATGAAATAAATAATATTAAGAATATAAGATTATTTCATAATATTTAATGTTATATTAATTTAGATTATTCATACTTATACTTCTAATTCTTATGTATAATATAATAAAACAAATAAACCACTAATTATAAAATTATATGGGCATTCTAATTACTTATATTTCTTTTATTTATTTATTATTATCTATGTTTTATTTTCATTTATTTATCATTTTTTTTTTATTTCACTCTTACAAATAGTATAGCATGTTTCAATATTTTTAATTTAATGTTTATTTGACTATCCTTATTTTTTGTTTTCTCATTATCATCTTTTCTTTATTTTTCTTATTGTAAATATTGTTATGGTAAAAATAAAATAAATCCAATTGGAATCAATTCAATTTTCTATTGTTTGTTATGCACTTTTCATTACTTCATGATAATTGTTTATTTACTTTTCTCAATTACAGCGATTTTTATTTACATCTCTAATTCTTTATTATTTCTATTAATTTTCTTTGTTTTATCTTACTTTCTTATTCATTTTATTTTTGTTCCTTCATTCTTATTTGAACATTGTTTCTTCATTCTTTCTAATAAAATAAATACACTTGTTTAAATTTCTTTCTCTATAATTTCAATCTTATTTTTTGATATTATCTATTACTTTATCATTCAAATTCCCTTGTGTTATCATGTTATTTGTTTTACATTTGAAATAACATTTCAATATACTTTTTGATAACTTTGTAATTTATTCTTGTTTCTATCTTTCCTCTTTATATCTCACATGACACTTTTATATCATTTCTTTATTACTTCACTCATTCCTTTCTCTTCAATGATATCACACATTTTTATTTTTTTCATCATTACCAATATTTCCCATTGTATGTTTCTTTTGAGTATTTGAATAATTTGATCATCTTCTCTTGTTTTAGTCATATGTTTAACTCTAATCATCTCATTTTCTTCATTACTTTCTTCTTCTTTCTTTTTCGCATTATTCTTCATTGCCCCTTCATTTAGTCTTTATGTTAACTTCTATTAACCATTCAAATTTATTCATTAATATTTTCTTTGTTATTTCCTTTTATCATGAAATATTCTTTTATATTTTCATTTCTTCGTTGATATACTCATATTTCAAATATTTCTTTTGCATTTTTAAATATCGTCATTTTAATTTCTTCATTATTTTCATCTAAATTTTCAATAATCTCTTTGAGCTTATGACAATATCCATCTGTTTCAATTTCTCTATTATTCAATGTTGACGTCATTCAAATCTAATTAAAAATTTTCTATATCTTTCTTTTCTATTTGTTGTTATATGTGTTAATAGTTCTTTCTGTTTATTATATTTATCAATTGCTTTTCTATATATTTGGTTTCTCAATTTATCCTTTCTCTTTTTTATATTTCGATGTTTTTCAGACCATTTTGATAAATGTAATGTTATTTTCTACTTCTATTTCTTAAATAATAAACATGATAATTCTCTCATTTTACTCTGTTTATTTGTATCACATTCTTTCTAACTATAACATTCAATACTTCATTTTATTCTTGTGAAGTTCTTTGACTATATTTTCATCAGTTTGTTCAATATCAAAACTTTCAATGTGTGTTCTAAGTTCTTTGACTGTTTCTTTATCAATTGTTTGATAAAGTCTCCCAATAATCTTTTGATTTCGTTCATTATTTTTTTTGTTATTTCTTTTATCTTCTTAACACTTTCTATTCATTTTTTCTTTCCTTAAGCAGCTCAATTTCTTTTTAACGTTTCAACTATGCTAATCAACTTCTTTATTCATTTTCCATGTTTTCTAATCATCATATGAATTCGATGTTGTGCAGCAGGTGTTCCTTCCACAATTCTAATTGGGTTGATTATTTGGCTATTACTGTTCTCCAATTTTTTCAGATTGAAAGATGATATGTTATATCATTATCACTAATTTCATTGATTAGCGTCAATACGAATCTTTTTTCAAGAATTTGTATCTGAACCTTTATCAAATATAATAGAAATTTATTAATGTTTAACTTTTACTAATTGATGGTATAATTTAATTATCTACACTACGTCCTACTATTTATTATATTACTAGTTAGTATATTATAAATAATACTAAGATCTTTTTTATTTGTTACTTCTTAAACTGGTTTTATTTTGTTGTTTTGTCTTAATAAAATGTTATTCTACCCTTTAAACTCCTTTCTTTATTTATAAAATACAAAAATAATGAGAGAATAAGAAGTTTATCATTTAGTTTAATTAATAAATGTCATTTTCTCCATAAATGTAGTGGGTCATTTTATGAAGTGTTATTAAACCTTAAGAGTTGTAAACTATAAAGAAAGTAATACCAAATGAAAAATTGTTATTGAACTATTAATTTTTTATGACAAAGAAGATATCCTAAATGAATTATTTTTATAACCTAAAAGAAATGAAAAAAAGAAAATAAAAAAAGATAAATCAAGACGGGTTTAAACAAAATTAACTAAACAAATATTTTCTTACTTTCAAAAGTTATAATAATCTACAAAATGATTGTTATTTGTTATTGAAAAAAATACAAATATTTTGTTTTTAGAAAAAGAGTATTAAAAAAAAAACAAAAAATATACAGAAAACTACTAATATATTGTTTTTCAAAAATACTTTGATAAAAAATTTTAAAATTAAAAATTAACATCATTCATTAACCAATAAATTTATTAAAAATTATTCTCATTTGAAGTTTTCAGAGAAAGGAATTACGTCTGACCACGTTCAATAAACTAAAAAAGGAAGAGAAAGAACTTAAAAAAATGAAATGACCAAAAGAATTACAGGAGAATTTGCTAAACTTCAAAAGAATAAAGAAGGTTGGTTTACTGTTGGAACATATTCAGACGATATTTATCAATGGAAGGTAATAGTTAATGGACCAGAAAATAGTCCATATGAAGGTGGAAAATTTGAAGTTAAAATTACCCTTCCTAAAGAATATCCACATAAACCACCAACATTGGTTGTAATGACTAAAGTTTATTCACCAATTGTTAACCCTGAAGACCATACTATTTGTCATCCAATTCTCCAAACTGATAATAAACCAGGAAATTGGGCACCTACATCATCAGTCTATGAAGTTCTTGTTGCATTTAGAAGTATGCTTGGATCACTTTCTACTGATCACGTCACAAACACTGAAGTTGCTCAAGTTCTTGCAGAAAGACCAGAAGAATTTAAGAAGACAGCCAGAGAATGGACAAAATTATATGCTAAATAAAATAAAACACATTTAATTTACAAGCATATTTATCATTTGTATTTATTTTATTAATCACATTTAAATATAATTGTTTATAATAACATTACAATTATTAGTATTATTATAATTTCTCTTCCTACAACTCCATTTGTTTTAGTTTGATACATCTCTTTGGTATTATTTAAAAAATAAGTGATAAAAAAAAGATCATTTTAACTTCATAACGATAATTTATTTGAAGATTTATAATTTACCCTTTTTTATTAAGACCAATTATATGCAACATTCTTTGTTTTATTTTTGATTTATCATTAGTACAATCTTATAGGAGTTACAAGTTATCATTTCTTATTAGGTTGATTAGTACTAAACTTTAGTGATGTTATTAAGACACACCACTACACTATTCTTATACTCATTGTGTTAGAACAAGCCTAATCATTAAAAATCTCTTATTCATTATTATATTGTTTTGGGTATTTGTTAATTCTTTTTATTTGTTGGTTCATCTCTTCTATCTTTGTTTTTACTTATTTGTTATATTCTTTATTTCACTCTTATGAACGAACCAATACAATTTGTTAAATTTCTATTACTAAAAGTAATTTATTGAATATACAAATAAGTTTAATAGATTTCAGACTATTTTATTTTTAGTAATTGATGTTATACAATGGTTTGTGTTATTGTATTTATTGAAAGTATAAGATGTAATTACATAAATGATAGTGAATTTTTGGAATAATGAATAAAAATTTCTTGTATAATTTTTTTAAAAAATTAGTAAAAATAATTCACATGAATCATTTAAAATTTTAATTAGAGTATTTTCTTATAATAACAGAAACATAATATCTTTACCTCTTGTAAAGAAGTTATGCAACCAATATATATTTAAATAATTGAAATAAGTTAATACATCCAATAAAATTATGAAAGTTCCTCGGTATAAAAAAACAAAAAGAAAGAAAAAAAAACTAAAAAAGTGATTTATTGAGATGTTAACATACAATCGACTCTATGAAGTAACTAACCCAATAACATTTCCATTTGGAGTTTCATGTCACCCATTTGAGTGTGAACCTCCTTTTCCGTGTGGAGAAGTTATTGAGAAAAAACCATTTCAATGTAATAAATGTGGTGCTTATGATAATTGTTTTAATCTTCGGGTGAATGGAGAATTCCTTTGTTGTGTTTGTGGAACTATGAACCCGACATTTATCACATATAAAAATTTTACATCAAATTCATTAGTTGTTTGTCCTTCTATGTGTCAACCAACAAATTTCTTCTTCAACAACAATAAATTAAAATTACAAATTTCTATTGAAACTATTGTTGTCATATTTATGCAACCAAAAGAAGCAGATAAATTCGTAAAAGAATGTTTAAAAGAGTTATGGAAACGTATACAAAAGAAATCTGTTAAAAGAAAATTATTAATAGTTGTTCAAAATGATGAAGGACTTCATTTAGGGTCTTTTAAAGGAAATCAAATTCATTTAATAACTATTCCAAAAGAAGAAATCACAGAAGATAATTTTTGTTTAAAAGAGATGATAAATGAAAATACTTTTAGATTTGAAGAAACAGTAGATGAATTATCTTTTGATAATATTACTGATACTATGCTAGCTTTTAATAACAGAATTCGAGGATCAGAACAATGTTATGAATTACTTCATCAAATTAATACCTTTGAGAGTGATATGAGAGTGTGTCTTTTTAGTGGTGAAATAATAAGAGAATCTATACAAATAGATATAGAACAAGTCCGTTACAAATTTCCAATTCATTTTATATTATTTTCTTCTTGTTGTAATGAAATAATAAAAATAAATAAAATTATTGAACAAACTGGTGGATCTTTACATATTTGGAACATCAACCAACAACATTTAGATATTTGTTATAGAGATTTATTTGATAGGTTATTATGTGTAAGAACTCGAGGAGGTGATAAACTTTTATTTTTTTCACACAACTCTATCAAAGCAAATTTTCATAATGAATTCTTTCAACCAAATGAACCAATCCCTTCACTGAACCCATTCACATACTTCCATTTTATATTATCGTTCAATAAAGCAATATCATTAAATTACTTTCAAATAGTATTTACTGATGTTTTCTTAAAAGATGGAAAAGCAATTCCTTTCACAAGAATTGAAACTATTAAAGTTGGACATACCAAAGATACTTTTAAATTTTTTGACAATTACCCACCAGCACTAGCATTATCTACTTGTATGCAATTTAATAAAGATGATATGTTAAAGATATTACCTAATATGATCAAATATTATCAACCAATTCAAACACATCCTTTATTTAAACTCCTTGCACAAACTCTTCATATCGTCAGTGTATCAGCACTCTATTCACCTGATCCATTAATGTCTTCTTTATCACATTATTTATTGATACAACACTCCCCTCAATATTCAATGGCAATTTTTAATCCACCAATTATCATTTATTCTACACTACAATCTCTTCAACAAAAACCAACAATAACCCCTTCATTACAGGAACTCATTAAAATGAGTCCTGACCTTGTATTATATCCTTCTCAACGTCTTCTCTTGGTTTTATATAATCCAAGAATTATAAAAAACCAAAATATTCCACTTAGAGATAATATTAAACATATCACTCATATTCTAGCTGCTATTGACTCATTTAAAAGGCTTAGTTATGAGCGTCCACAAAGATATATTATATATGATTTCTTATTAACTGATCCAATCTTGACAAAATATATTCACTAATCAAATCTTTTCATTTCATTTCTTTTTTTTTACAAACTTAAAAAATCTTAAAAAAGAATATTAATTGTGCTTCTGGACTTGAATGCAAATGTCCTTTAATACTGAATCAAATAATTCATGAGCTTGTTTAAGAATTATTTGTTCGTCTGCGTCTTCAGTAATAACAACTACAACAGAACCAACAAAGTTATTTGGTGATAATGTCCAGAAATGTTCATTTTTATATTCTAATACACCATCTAATTGTTGAAGTTGTTGTAATTTAGCATAAATTTGAGGATATACAGACTGAGGAGAGGTTTGTAATAAAATCATTCCATTGGCAGTAAGAATAGGAATAGCAATATAAATCACAATGAAAGCCATTGCCATAGAAAATAATCCATCGTAGCTAATGATACCACTACCAAATTAATACAAAGATTAAATTAAAAACATAAAATGACAAACGGATACCAAAACGAAATAGAGTAAATAGTTATTACTGTGATATTTTGAATAAAATGAAAAATTACAAATCTTTTTTGTGATTGAGGGATAGAAGATGATGTTGGTGATGCTTCACGAACAAAAATAATGTCTGAGAAGAAACACAAACCAATTCCATTAATCAATAATCCCCAACATACTGTACTAATGATTGAACGAATACTATCTAGCTCTGTTGAAATAGTTACAGGTTCTATCATTCTTTCAACACATTGCATCAATGTGAATGCAGAAAAAAGAACTAAGAAAAATCCGTTAATAAATCCTAATAAAGGTTCAACTCGTTGATATCCGTAAGTCATTGTTTCGGTAGAACTTCTATGTGCATACATCTTTCCTGCATAATAAATAATAATAGAAAATAAGCAAAATGCTGTATGTACCGTACTAACAAGTAATCCTAATGAATTTGTATCTACACTTACCATCAGTTCTCGTAATGCAAAAATCGTCAATACAACAAAATATACAATGTTTATTTTATCCTTACGTGTTGCTAGAACAACAGTTTTTAAGTTAGAAAAGAAGGAGGATTGTTCTTCAACTGTAAATGTTGGCATTGTTTATTCATTTTTGAGATGAAAAATATGTTTTTGTGATATAAAACAAAAATAAAAATTTAAATGTAAAGAATTTTAAATGAAAAAGATATTCATCAACACAATTGTAGTTGTCATTAATAACGCAGCACTACTTCTTAAATTCATATTTGGTTCTTCAACACACATACCTGATTTAGTACAAACATAACCAGTTGAACAAATACCACAAGAAGGTTGACAACCTTCTTTCCATGGAGATAGTGTGTGATCATCATATGATTCATTGGTTATTGTGCATTGGGTGTTAGCACAATTCATTGAGTCCCAATCACAATTTTTATCAACAACATCACCACTCATAATTAAATGAATGCCCTCTAAAATAAATTTAGTTGATGAAGATGTTTTGAATTTTAAAGAGAAGACATTAGAAAATGATGTGCATGATTTATCTAAAATAGCTTTAATATAAACTTTTTTAGAGCCATCAACTGTTTTAATTAATTGTTTAAATTGTAAGTTATCACAATCAACAAAAATATCACTTTCCTTAAACTCTTTTGTATTTGTATTTGTTCCTAATGAAAAATGAATTAAGTCTAATGTCCCTGAAAGTAAATTTGCTTCAAATTGAAGTTCCTGATAAGAAACTGACATTTGATGAAGTGTCCCATAATAAAAGAACATACTTAATTCATCTTCTATTGTTGAAATGGTAACATCTTTTTTTGTAGGTTGTAATTTATTAATTAAACCATTTATCTTAGTATATAATCTCCATCTGAAAAATCGCATATCAGGAATACCTTCTTCTTTATCATAAATACCTAAAGTAGCACAGTACCTACACTCACTCTTTGTATTTGTTAGAAACCTTGAAGAAAATCTCAAATAACGTTCTTGTGTAAGATCTGCATTTGTCATAGAAACAACATCATCCTCAACAGAAACTATTTGTATATGGTTTGATCTTGTAATTTTGTTTTGCGGAATAATGTATCTACCATTTTCATTTTGTTGATACTCTACTTTATCGATAATTAACTTTTCATCTTTAACATTTGAATTAAATAAGGTGATTTCATATGAATCAGTTTGTTTTTTTACATAAATTTTTGGGAAAACTTTAAAAGGACAGACTGTAGGCTGTAACACTACTTCAATCATTGAAATGGTAATGGCTGCATTAAAAGTAGATGCAATAGTGTTATACCCTTTTTGTGTTACCCCAATTGTTTTATTAAGCCAATCAGGATTAGTTGTATGGTTGGTGTAAAAATATCCTGCGACAACACAATACAATGGATCTCCAACTGGGCCTTTAATTTCTAAACACTGACCACATCTAGAAATATTTAACCCATCTTTCTGAAAATACATATAATCCTTATGGACATAACACGTCTGTTGTATGGTGTATGAGTATAATTCAATTTCATAATTTGGTATGTCATTATAACAAATTTCTTTAACATAGTATTGTCCTCCTGAAGAACCTACATCTTTATCATTAATTACTCCAATCATTGCTTCTTGCAAACAAAAAGCATAGGAAAATACAGTAAATAATAAAAAAAGTGGTGATCCTAATACAAATTTCATAACTACATTTTTGTTTTTGTTATTTTGTAAGAGTTTTTATTCTGGAAATAACTAATTTCGTTTTCTATTTCATTCTTTTTTTTAGTTTATAATAACTTGATTTTTTTATTCGCAAATAAAAAACAAACAATAAATATTTTTTTGTTATTAATATTTAAAAAAAAAATAATTGAAAAGAATATAAAAAAACTAGAAATAAGAAAATTTACAAAAAATCTTAAAAAGATGAAGAACTAAATAAAGAAGATTTCATATGGTTTGTTAGTTATATAATTGAAAAAGAAAGATGATATAAATATTTATTGTTGTTAGCTTGTACTTGTTATTGGAGATTTTCATGTCCCACATAGAAGCGCTGCTATTCCACAAGTATTTCTTGAGCGGTTAAATACTGGAAGAATTCAAACTGTTCTTTGTACAGGGAATCTTTGTGGAAAAGAAACGTATGACATTTTGAGAACTCTTGCACGTGAAGTTCATGTTGTTAAAGGAGATTTTGATGAGATGCAAGGTCTTAATGAAACTGAAGTAATTAAAATAGGAAATTTCAAAATTGGATTAATGCATGGTCATCAAGTTATCCCTTGGGGAGATCGTGAGGCTCTTGCCATCTATCAAAGACAACTCGATGTTGACATTTTAATCACTGGTCATACCCATAAATTAGAAACAAAAGAAATCGGTGGTAAATATTTCCTTAATCCAGGTAGTGCTACTGGTGCTTATTCTCCTTTAGTAGACAATCCAATCCCTTCTTTTATGTTACTTGAAATTAATGATTCAGAATTAACCATTTATGAATATACCTTAGTTGATGGTTCTGTTAAATGTGAAAGAGTTGATTTCAATAAGAAACAACAACAATAAGTTCACTTACTTTTTATCCTTTAATTTTTATTTTTTGTTATAAAAAACAGTGTTTATTTTTATTCTTTTTAATTTAACGTTGCTTAAAGTTATGCTGAATAATAGGAAAAATCCTGATAAATTATTGAGAAGAATGAAAATAAAAAAGAATAAGATGAATTGAAATTCTAAGTTGGTTTTAAGTTTGTTTGGAAATTACAAAACTATAAAAAGTACTCAATTAAGAAATGGTTCAAACAACTATTATTTTTTGTTTTATCATGTTTTATTCATTTTCAAATGCCACTGAGTGTAGCTGTAATCTTTTACTTGATTCTGAACATTGCATTGAATGTAGTGAAGGTTGTCACCTCTCCTTAGATCTCCCAGAAGGAGCAATTGTTCCTAATTTAATATGTAAAGCGGACAATGTTCTTAATTGTTACTTACATGATAAAAATATATGTGTTCAATGTAAAGATGGATATTATTTAAAAGATAATGAATGTAAAGACTGTGATAGTCTTATTAGAGGATGTAAATATTGTAATGATACTAAATGTTTTGTTTGTGGTAATGATGAAGGAAAACAATTGTATCTCTCTAATACTCAAGATAAATGTATTGATTGTAGTGATACTAATAATGCAGAGTTATGTGGCAGATGTACTGATGGAAGTTATTTTGATTCAACAACAAGAACTTGTCAAAAATGTTTTAGTAATTGTGAGTTATGCACATCAAGTACAAATTGTTTTAAGTGTAGTAACAAAACTATTTTAACAGAGTCAAATGGTTTGTATAAATGTATTCAAATTGATAATTGTGATTCAGAATATTCTAAAGATGATCACTGTGAAAAATGTATTGATGGTTATTATCTTAAGAATGGTAAATGTTCTAAATGTCAAGACGGATGTAATGTATGTTATGAAGATACTCAAAGCAATTCATTAAAATGTTCTGAATGCGAACCTGATAAAATTATGAATAGTGGAAGTTGTTCTGATGCTTCGAGTTTACATTGTTTACAAGGTAGTCCAATTTTTGGATGCACAGAATGTGAAGAAGGATATTATTTTAGTTCAGACTATACTTGTCAAAAATGTAGCTCAAATTGTAATACTTGCATTGGAACATCTGACCATTGTTTAAGTTGTGCAAAAGATTATTATTTTGTTAAAGGACAAACAACATGTATACATATGGACTCTCATTGTAGATTAGCTGATGAATCTGGATGTAAAGAATGTAATAACGAACTTGTTAAAGAACATGAAAATGACACAGGGTATTATATTCCTGAGGGTTCACAAACTTGTCAACCTTGTGAGGAACATTGTAAACTATGTGAAAAAGAGTCAAACCATTGTACTGCTTGTATAGATAACTATCTTCTTAAAAAAGTTGATGATACAAATGGAAATTATCATTATGAATGTATTGAAAATGATAAAAAAACATGTATTTCTACGGAAATGGGGTATTGTACCGAATGTATTGCAAAACATTTTATTGCTACTTCTGCAGATGGACTAGAACAAGAATGTACTTCATGTGATAAATCATGTGATACTTGTGAAAAGAATGACTCGTGTTTAACTTGTGCAAAGGATTATTATTTACCAAGAAATTATACTGGAAATAAAGTAAATTCATTATGTAAACAACAAAGTGAAATTAATATGACATGTCAAGCTGGAACGTCTGGGTGTGAAGTTTGTAATGATGGGTATTGGATTAATTTAGATGATGACACTCAAGCAAATTGTACTGCATGTCCTGATGGATGTTCTAAATGTCAATGGTCAACAAATGAACAAAGAGTAATTTGTTTATTATGTGATACAACGGACCAATATGTTAAAAATGGAGAATGTGCTCCATGTAATGAACTAGAGCATTGTGCCAGTTGTTCAGGAGATAAATGTACTATGTGTGAAGACGGTTATAGTTTAGATGCAGGATCAATGTCTTGTTCAAAAACTAATTGGGCATTAATTATTCCATTAATTATAGTAGCTGTTATTATCATTATTATAATTCTTATTGTTATTATTGGTATTATTTGGTGGAGAAGAAGAAAAAGTGTTAAAGCAGAATCTACTGCTATTAAACCATTCCATGTATCATCAGATCTTGAGTTAATGCTTCTTGGAGCAGATAATGAAAAATTCCCATTGAAAACAGATAAATGGGAGTTAACATTTAATTTGGCTAAGTCTAAAGCAATTGTTGATCAAGAATATGAAGAAACAGTTAAATTGGCTAATATATCAAAGAAAGAATATTATTTCGAATTCCATTATACTCCATCTCATAAATATGATATTGTTATCACTCCAAATAACTCTACTTTAAAACCTGGAAATGCTATTCAAGTTACATTTAAAATTAAAGTATTATGTACTTGTTCATTATCTGATCAATTAGGCATTTCTGCTATGGACATTGATGATCAAACGAAAGAAACTGCAGCATTTACTATTATTATTGAATCTGATTTATCTTTGAAATTAGATCATACTGAACTTAAACCAATTATGCCACCAATTGGTGAAGGTGCTTTTGGTATGGTATTTAGAGGAACTTATAGAGGAAGGGAAGTTGCTATTAAAAAGATGAAAGCAAGAAATTTAACACAAGAACAAGAAAAAGAATTTAATCATGAAGTATCTATGATGACACAACTAAGACATGTTTGTGTTGTAGAGTTGATTGGAGCAGTTTATACAGAAGGAGAAATTTCAATTGTTACAGAATTTGCAGAATATGGATCATTAAGTAAGATTTGGGGAAAACAAAAAATTAGTTACCAATTAAAAATAAAGTTCTTAGATGATATGGCTGTTGCATTATCTTATCTTCACCAAAACCAAATTATTCACAGAGATGTTAAAGGTGAAAACTTATTAATTTTCTCAATAAATCCTCATTCACCTGTTTGTGCTAAATTAACTGATTTCGGTACTTGTAGAAATATTTCTGAAAGAAATTTGAGTGTTAAAGAATTATCACAAGGTATTGGAACACCTACTTATATGCCACCAGAATGTCTTCAAAATTCTACTGATTATTCATATCCAGTTGATGTATATGCTTACGGTATTGTATTATATGAAACATATGTAGAACATAATGCATATGATGGAGATGAAAGATTTAATCAACCATGGATGATTCCACAATTTGTTATTGAAGGTAATAGATTATCAAAACCTGATAGTATTCCTGATAATTATTGGGAATTGACAACTAAATGTTGGTCTCAAAACGCAGTTGATAGACCTACATTTGTTGATATCTTAAAAACGATTGAATCTTGGGGTGAAGACATTAGATATGCCTTTAATATTGAAGGAGATAAAAAAATACAAGGTAGTGATGCATCAAGTTCTACCTCTGTACCATCTAGTGCTCAAGAACCATCAACTAATTCTACTTCAACACCAACAGATGATAAACCAAGTTCATCTTCTGAACAAAAAACTTCAAGTGAAAGTAAAAAGAAATCAGAAAGTACTAATCAAGAAGAATTAAAAGAAATAATATTAAATGAACAAATACAACAATCATCAAGTTCATCTTCAAGTTCTGACTCAACTAGTTCATCCAATTGATTTATTTCTAAATTATTGGTTTAGTTATAATAAAAGATGAACGAAACACAAAGAAATGTAAATTAATTCATTAAAGAGGTGTTGAAATATTTCTCAAAGGATTTAATTGTATCATTTAAATCACCTAAACGTTGCCAAAAATCAGATGGAATACATTCAATACAATATGCTTCATCTAAAACACTCCCATTTGCATCTTTGGGTTCCCAATATAAGAGTTGTTTATACAAAGTTTGTGCATTTTGTTGTGGATGACTTGGATTAGTTGAGGTAGAGGATGAGTGTTGTGATACTCCAGTTGAACTTTGTTGACTTAAATTAGTTGATACGTTTGTTCGAGCACGAGTTTCACCGATACTTTTATTTGTACTACCATTTGTTCCACCACTTGTTTTAGGTTGTCTTTTCTTTGGAATGTAAGGAGGTGCTACAAGATTTAATGTTGACATCTACTAACACGTATATTTATACTCTTTTTAATAGTTCTTTATTGATTATTTTTATTATTTCTATTTTTTTGTTTAGTCTTTTTTAATTTTTGTTTTTTTTTTAATATTTTAATGAGTGTTGTTTTAACTAAAAATCACAAAAAATCTGTCTTTTTCTTTTTTTGTCTTCGACGTGAAGAACTTTAAATGAGAAGAACTTTTCAGTTTGAAAAAATTTTACTATCAAAGAAGATTAAAACAATGACACAAATACACAAAGTAGGACCATTTTTAATTGGGAATAAATTGTTAGGAGAAGGTGCAACAGGAAAAGTCTTTTTATCATTTCATGAAGAGACTAATATTAAAGTTGCAATTAAAGTTATTGATAAAGTAAGTATTTGCAGTCATCCTGAAAAGAAAAGAAAGGTTGAGAGAGAGTTAGCAATTCTCCGAATTATTCATCACCCAAATATTATTGACTATTACGCATCTTATGAAACAACAAAACTACTTTTTTATGTTCAAGAATTATTAAGTGGAGGAGAACTATATGCATATGTTGAGAAAAAGAAGAAATTATCATTAGAAGAATCAGTTAAGTTTCTTTTACAAATAATTTCTGCTTTAAAATATATTCATAAATGGCAAATATGTCATAGAGATATTAAGCTAGAAAATATTTTGTTAAGTCAAGATTGTTCAACAGCTAAGTTATGTGACTTTGGAATGGCAACATATACTGGGGGAATGCCTCTAAGAGATTCTTGTGGTAGTACATTTTATGCTGCACCAGAATTATTTACTCAACCAACATATGATGGATGTGTTGCAGATATTTGGTCATTAGGAGTTGTTTTTTATGTTATGATTTTTGGATTTATGCCATTTCCAGGTGAGACTGATGAAGAATTTGTTGAAAATGTAAAAAAGTTAACATACCAAATTCCTTTTGAACTTCCACATCCAATCCATGAAGCTTTAACTGGAATGTTATGTGGTGATGTTAAACAACGTTTGACTTTAGATAGAGTTAAAGTACTTATTGAACCTTTTTCTCAAATAACAACACCAGCCCGTCCAATACCATCGAAGAAAATGAATTATTCCATGTTTGATAGTTTCCAAGATTTAAGTATATCAATTAATGACACCGTTGTAAGAAATAACCAAAATTCATTGGAAAATGATGGGATTATTGAAAATGAACCAAATAAAATTGAAGATATTGAAACAATTGCTGGTGGTCCAATAACTATTGTTGATACTAAAGTTATGCAAATGTTATCGTCTTTATTAACTCCATTACATATTTCTAAAATAAGGGAAGAATTATTTGCTCCTAATCCAAATACCGTACGTGCTTTTTATCGTTCTATTACTGAACACACACAAAATTCCTTAAAAACATTAACTTCTTCAAATTTAAAAATAAAAACAGTTAATACAAATACTACACTATTCCCTGTTTCTCCATTACTTTCAGACCCTTCTTCTTATAAAAAAAGTGTTTCTCCAGCATTTTGTGAATTACTTAAGAAGAAAAGGAGTTGTTCTCCTATTAACATTAAATATAAAGAAACAGTCTCTCCTCCTTCTTCTGTTAATATCCCTCATGAAATTGATGTTTTCCTTTCTCCAATAGAAGGGCCTTTTATTCACCAAGCAACTATTGATATGACACCTTCAAAAGCAATAATCAAAATCAATGAGATATTAAAAGAACTTGGCATTGAGATTGAACATCAAATCACTGTTGATAATATTGAAAAGTGTTTATATCACTATGACGTTGATGATTCTTTAAATAAAAATAAAGCTGCTCTCAGTCAAATTATATTTACTATTCTTATCAGCGTCGGAGATACTTCTGATATTGACGTCAGGTTCGAAGATAAAACTATTATTAAATTTGAACTATCCGAAGGAAGTGCTTTGGTATTTGGAGATTTATGGAATGTGATTAAAAGACAATTATTAGAACATGATAGTTTTCCTATTGAATAAATAATTTGTTTATATACATCATCACAATTTTATTAAAATGATTTTTGTTTTTTTACCTTATTACAATTTAAAATTATCGGGAAATTAAAGGAAATAACAATAAACATCATTTTGTTAACTCTTGAAATTAAAAAATGGAACTTAAAATTTTATTTCTATAATGTTAAGTTTTGATTACTATGGCTTTGGTCAATCCAATGGCTGGATAAATAAAGTTAGTAATTTAGAAGATTATCAAAGTAGAGTATCTACTTTATTAAAAAAACTACAAGAACAGAAACCAAATAATGGCATCTATACTTCTAAAACCAACACTGGTAAAAATTACTCTTGCATTAATAGTGAGATCGATTGCATTAATCAATTTGTTAATAATTTATTTAGATGTAATGATTGTAGTATTCCACATTTAGATGGCACTAATTATTTTAAAGTATTCCGACTCGTTAACAATATCTTTAGACCATCATTAGTTGCTGAATTTTTTGAATTATATAAGGAATGTTATTACAAAAAAAGAGTACTCACTAGCAGAGAATTTGTAAGTGATGAAACCAATTCAGAAGTTATTGAATTAAGTAAAAAACTTTGGTGTCTTTTCAAGAAAATTTTAAAACCCACTATTTATGAAATTGAAAATTGTGGCACTGAGACTGGATACAATGAAGATCTAAGTGGACACACAATGGATCTTACTTCAGATTATTATTGGGCTTTATTCACTAACTTGTATAATACCATCAGAATCAGAAATACTAAGAGTTATAAAACACTGGGCACAGACGGTAGTAGCTCTGTTTCAGTTCATCGACCTTCAAACATTACAGTCTGCCCTTCCAAGATTCAAATTCCTTATGAAAGCATATGTAAAAAATTAGAAAATCACATAAGTGATTTAAAAAGTCAAATAAGTGATTTAGAAAGTCAAATAAGTGATTTAAAAAGTCAAATAAGAGGTTTAGAAGAGACAGGGCAAGAAAAGGATCAGACAATAACTAACTTAAACCAAAAAGTAAGTGAATTAACACAAGAAAAAGAAGAGGCTGAAGCTATTTTAAATAGACTAACTGAAATCCATTATGAGGAGTTAAATAAGTTAAAGGATAAAGTTGACAAGCAAATTAACAAATTATGTCGTGATAGAAAAGATGAAAAGCAGAAGCAAGAGTCTGAGTACCAACGTAAATTAAGTCTTAAAGAGGAATGCTTTAACAAAGAAATGGGACGATTAACTGAAGAAAATAACAAGTTTAAAAATGACAATTTAAGTCTTAGAAAAGAATTAGATGATACAAAAGTATTACTTTTTATCAAATTATGTGGTAAAACACAAATAATTCTTCAATCAAAAGCTAAAGAACAAGGATTTGAATATAAGATTGAGTTAAAACCAGAGAAAGAAATATTTATAGTTCCAGTCTCTCAATCAGAGAAAAGAAAGGATAAATTTAAAATTAAATTACCACGACTTACAATTAATAAAATGGATGAGGTTTTAGAATACGAAGAGTTCTGTATTAATTTGAAGGATGAAAAAAAATTCTATTATAATAAAAAAGGTTCCTGTATTCTTGGTCAACAATTGAATCTACAGATAGAAATTGTGGATGGTAAGAAAAAAGAAGAGCCAATCTCCAAACAAACAAAACAAAAAGGAGGCATACAAAATAATATTGTTGATGAGGAACAACAAGAATTAAATAAAGAGGTAGTTAAAGTGAGTGTTCCTATTGACTATTATTTTGTCAAGGGTCCACATAAATTTGACTATCAAGGAATGGAAATTAAACTTCCAATAAGTCTTAAAACTCAAGAGGGTGAAATTATTTCACTCCTAACCCAAAAAGGACCAATGAAATTTCAGGTGAATTCTGAGCCTACAAACTCTTATAGAAGGGACGGTTTTGATTTAATTCAAACACTCTATTTCCCAAAAAAGGATGAGGGCCAATCAGTTATCCTTCCAGTACATACTTATGACGGTACTGTTGGTCCCAGTATGTTTTTAGTTAAAGATGGATATACGGTGCAATATTTTGGAAAAGGATTCTTTTGTCCTCATGGGGTTAGAGGATCGTTAAAGGTAGTTGTAAAGCTAATTGAATAACAAAGGACATTTAATTGAGTAATTTTACTTTATTTAAAATTAAATAATAAATAGAAATGAATTAAACATCAATTTCAATGGAGTCAAGATCATCAACAGTTATATTATATTTAATAGAAGGGGTGTATGGAAGAAAATACCATAAAAGAGAAAGGTCTTTTCTTACAAGAAAAGCGTCTCTCCAATTTTCAATTAAAGAAATATAATAAGGTAAAATTAAAGTTTTATTTTTAATTAATGAGTTAATAGTAGAAATCATATCGACCATTGTTTCATTAACAGAAATCATTACAGTTTGTATAATAAATTGTAATAAACAAGTAATAAATAAATTTGCTAAAACAAGTGTTATTAATAAAACCGATTTAAAATAAAATTCTTGATTTCCTTTTTTATTATAAAGAATAACTATTAACATATATAATCCTAATAATGTAGTTGTAGTTCCATGATAAAGAAATAAATAAAAATGTCTAATATTATGTAATCCAATACAACTTAACCAAGCACAATGATGGTCATATCTTACCACACATTGATTACAAACTGAACAGTGGTGAGTTCTTGGATATTTTTGTTGATTACAAATATCACAAAATTCAATTAAATTAGAATTATTTACTAAAGAGTGATAATAATTAATTGGAATAATAAATGGTTTAGTTGTATATGATTTAAACCAATGATATAATAAACAATATAATTTATAATGTGACCATAGAAATATAAAAATAACAAATGATATTGAAAATAATTCTTTAACATATTTAAAGATAAAGCTAAAGAAAAGTAAATACATCCCAACTAATAATACTGGAATAAATATTGGAATAAGTCCAACAAAAAATCTAAATTTTTGAATTATCTTATTTTTTGATTGAAGGAATTTAGGTGTTTGTAATGAGTTATTTCCTATTTGTTGTTCTTGTTGGAATCTTTCCATTTAATTAAATTCTAAGTTCTAAATAACTTATTTAATTAATTTCTTTTATAATTTTTGAAAAATATAATTTATTTTAAAGTAAAGCAAATAAAAAAAATGTATTAATTTGAAAATGAAAAAGATTTCTTTATTGGAACTCCATCTGATGGTGTTGTAATACTTTTCTTTTTAAGATGACTTTGGTCAATATCAATTTTACCTGATTTAGAATAAGATCTCTTTTTATAAAGATCAGCCAATGTCCCACTATTTGGTGTTGATGTTTTGATAAGATATCCTTCTTTTTTCTTTGATGAGGTTTCCGATAATCTTAATGATATTCCTATTGCCCCATAACCATCATTAACTTGTTTTTGAAGACTTAATGAATTCTTTCTTGAATTAGAGGTTGACGATGGTTTAGAATGACTTCTTGATCTTTGACATGAACTAGCTGCTGAATGAGAAGTTGATCGAGATAATGAATGAGAGCTTGAATGAGAATAAGTGTCATGTTCATGAATAAACTCTCTTAAAGGAGTTTCATTTAAAGAACATTGTAAACTAAATTCATTAATAACATCTAATAACAATTTTGATTGTATTTGTTGGTCATATTTCTTTGTTAATTCTAATGAATTAATTAAAGAAGAAAAAATTCCAGAACGATAAGAAAGAATAGGAAATGTTGGTATTTGAGATGAAGGAATTAATTTAGGTAATTTTTGGAAATAAAAATGTTGAACTGAATCAAAGTCATTTAATTTTGAAATAAATTTCATAACGTCATCATTTTTAATTGATTTACAATCAATCAAAAACGTTTTCTACAACGTAGTTAGTTTTTAAGAAAATTAGATAATTAATTAAGAAATAATAAAAACAAAAAACAAACAAACTATATAATAACTCAGTTTAATAACTATTATAGCCATTTCTTTTATTAATATTTCAATAACATAAATTGTTAATTTAGAAAGATATAAGTCAATGTTTTTCCAATGAATTTGTTTTAAATCATTAAATAATCCAATAATAATATCTAAAACAATTAAAATAATTAAATTTATTATTTGATAATTATTTACTGCTAAAAAACAAACCAAATTTATTAAATGCATTTCTCCAATCCACTTCATTACAAAGAGGTGTTAATGGAGTATTTTCTTCCATTATAATATCAAATCTTTCATATAATTTAACAATAGAGTCAATATATTTACAAAATATTCTAGTGAGATCATCTTTTTCAGTTAAACCTAACTGGATAATAACACCAAATTCTAAATTTTCGTTTTTTATTTTTTTTAGTAATTCTTTTTTGTAATCAATCTTAATTACATTTAAAACTATAATTAATATGTGTTGAACTTCTATCCATCCTTTATTACTCTTCTTTATTAATTCACAAATTAATTCTGTCATTCTTTTTGAATTTACTTCTTCGGTATAATAATGCATTATTTCTTCTAAATGTTTCTCTTTTGGTGGAATTTCTTCATTTCTTGTCGCTTTTATTAAACTTGTCTCTTCATCACTTTTATTAATACATTTAATCATTTCAATCACTGACATTACTTATTGATTATTTAGTTTATTTGACTAAAAATTATAATGAAAGAATTTGTTAAAAAACTTATGACATCCTTCTAAAAATATATTTATTAATTTTTGTTTTATTTTTATGTTTTTTTTGAAAAAAAAGTAGTTAAAAAAATCTTAAAAATCTTTTCATATCAATAAATGACAACCAATTACAATTTATATTCTAATGAAGTCACAAAACAAAACGAAATGATAAACTCACTTGGTGATATAGCAATTAGAATACACTCTAATGTGAAAGGAATTTCAGATGAACTTAATGTACACTCAGATTTGTTAGATGAAGTTAGTTTTTTTATTTAATTTTTATTGTTTTATTATTAATTTTATTAGATTGATGAAAAAACACCTTTAGTTCATGACCATGTAAAAAAAACACAATCGCGACTTAAAACTCTTTTACTAAGATCAGAAGATAAAGTGAGGTGGTCGTTAATATGTTATTTATGTTGTGTATTGATTATTGTTATATTTCTTGCTATAACGCTATAATCTTTTATTTTGTTATACAAAACGATATTTTAATCATTTTATTTTTTATCTTTTGAATAAGAAAAAAGAAGAAACCCTGTTGTAAAAACTGAACCATTCAATGTCATTTAGATCAAGCGACCTAAAGCTTCAACAACAATGTCAACAACGTCATAGTGAAATTGGTCAATTAAGAGTACAAAAAAGAAATCAAATAATGAACCAAAAAAGAAGGAAAATTGATTTTGAACCAAGAAAAGATGGGTTAATTCCTATTGAAGAGATGCACAACTTATGTTATGAAGTTATTAATGGGAATACAAATTATTTAATGCAATTATTAGAAACACTTAGTAATGATCCTGTACCTTATCAAGTTATTAAATCAACAGGAACAATTAAAACAATTATTAAAAATCTTAAAAGTGATAATAACGATATTGTTTTTTATTCATTATCAATTCTTATTAATTATTCTGCTTTTTCCCTTGAAAATTCAAATGAAATTTGTCAACAAGGAATTTCTTTATATTTTGAATATTTAATTAATTCTAATGATGAACGTATTGTTATGCATCTTCTTTGGTTAATGGCAAATATTGCATCTGATGGTATTGTTCCATCAGAAATTATTATTAATAGTGGAATTATTCAATACTTCCCTTCTGTTTTACAAAGATTTCCAACGTTACGTACTCGAAGTCAAATAATGTGGTTATTTTGTTCATTAGTAAGAAGATCAGAAAATAAACAAATTAATTCTAATTTCATTCAAATAGTAATTCAATTCGCAATGAGTTGTTTTGAATATAGTACAAATGATAATGATGAACTAATTTCTGATGCATGTTGGACACTTCAGTATATTGCATTAATACCGAATCAATTTAAATGTGTTTTAACAAAACAAGTTATTGAAAAAATGTTGTATTGCTGTCGTTCATCAGAAATTAAAATAGCTGTTCCTTCTATAAGGTTTTTTGGTAATTTATTAACCTATGAAGATGAAATTGCTAAACAATTAATTACTCAATTACTTCCAATATTTATTTCCTTAAATGATTCAATGGACCCTTCAATTTTAAAAGAACTATATTATGCTATATCAAATATTACAGCATGTAAAGATATATCTCTACTTCAATTAATTCTTGACAGTAAACTTCTTTATAATATTCCTGGATTAATTATTCAAAGAGATGTCTCAAAAACAGCTCGTGAAGAAATGGAATGGGCATTATCTAATTTCTGTTTTGGAGCTACAAATCAAATGTTACAAATACTTCTTACAAATTGTCCAGCAGTTATTGCAGCATTATTCTCTATTTGTAATGAACAAAATTTACCATCTAAATTATTAATAATAACGTTAAAATCAATAAGAAATGTATGTCGATTTTGTGACGATAATAAAGTTAACATTAATGATGTGGCTGAAGAATTCCAGTTTGAAACTGTATTAGAAGATATTATTATTAATGAACCAGATAAAAGAACAAAAGACTTGGCAACTAATTTATTAGAAAACTATTTTAGAGAACCAGAATTGATGTTATAATTGATTTATGCCAATTTTAATTGGTTTTATAAGGAAGAATAATTAACAAGACAAAAATGAACTAAATGATAAAAAGAAATTAAAAAATTAAAAAAAATAAATTAAACCCTGAACTTAGAAAAATAGAACTTTAAATAAACATTCAATAAATGGCTTCACGTGAAGATTGTGTCTATACTGCTAAACTCGCTGAACAAAGCGAAAGATATGATGAAATGGTTCAATCTATGAAACAAGTTGCAGAAATGGAAGCAGAATTATCTATTGAAGAAAGAAATTTGTTATCAGTCGCTTATAAGAATGTTATTGGAGCTAAAAGAGCTTCATGGAGAATTATTTCTTCTCTTGAACAAAAAGAACAAGCTAAAGGAAACGATAAACATGTTGAAATTATCAAAGGATATAGAGCTAAAATTGAAAAAGAGCTCTCTACTTGTTGTGATGATGTTCTTAAAGTAATTCAAGATAATCTTCTTCCAAAAGCATCTACTGCAGAAAGTAAAGTCTTCTTCAAGAAAATGGAAGGTGACTATTACAGATATTTTGCAGAATTCACTGTTGATGAAAAACGAAAAGAAGTTGCTGACAAATCACTTGCTGCATACACTGAAGCTACTGAAATTTCTAATGCTGAACTTGCTCCAACCCATCCAATTAGACTTGGTCTTGCTCTTAATTTCTCTGTTTTCTATTTTGAAATTATGAATGACGCTGATAAAGCTTGTCAACTTGCTAAACAAGCCTTTGATGATGCTATTGCTAAATTAGATGAAGTTCCAGAAAATATGTATAAGGACTCTACTCTTATTATGCAATTATTAAGAGACAACTTAACGCTCTGGACTTCTGACGCTTGTGATGAAGAATAAGTGAATTAAATGGTTATTTTCGTTTTTGTATTTAAAATTATTTTTAAATCTTATTTTATTTTGATAAGATTATTGTGAAACTTATTTAACGATAGCAAAAATTATTTTTATTAAAATAAGAATAAAACACAATATTCCATATAAAATAAGGGGGAAATGTTTTTGGAGTTTTGAGGAATTGAAAGATCAGATTAAAGGAACTCAAAAGAATTATCAAATATGAGTGAACAGGAGAAAGCGTTAGAAGCCAAAAAGGCTGAAATCCGTGCTCGGATGGAAAAGGAAATGAGAGAAAAAAGAAAAGCTGAAAAAGCAGCTTCCAAAGAAAAAAAAGGAAATGTTAGTGAATTAATTTCTGATATGAAAAAGAAGGTTGCCAACGAGGTTAGAGAAGAAACAGAAAAAGAATGGAAAGCAAAAGTTGAAGAGAAAGTTGTTGAGATTAATAATTTAAAAAATGAAATAAAAAGACAAGAAGAACAAAAGGTATCTTTAGAAAAAGAAAACAATACACAAAAAAATACTATTGAACAAAATTCTATTAATATCACTGAACTAAAGGAAAAACAAAAAGAGTTAATTGAAAGTATTGAAAAAATTAAAAATGAAAAGGAAGTATTGAAAGGAAAAGTTGAAGAATTAGAAAATGAAAAAAATGATATCAAACAAAAAAATGAAGAACAAGAATCAATTATTAAAACACTTTCAGAGGAAAAAGAAAAATTAGAAAAAGAATATTTAGAGGAACAAACTAAAAGAAATAATGAAGAAGCAAATAGAATTAAAGAAATTGAAGAATTAAAGAAACAAATTGAAGAATTTAAAAATCTTCAAAATCAATTCAAAGAAAAAGAAGATAGTTGGGAAAAAGAAAAGAATGATCTTATTATAAAATTCGAAGAAGACAAAAAAATATTTGAATCTGAAAAAACAAAACAAATTATTGATGAAATTCAAAAAGAAGCTGAAGAAGAATTAGATAAAAGGATTACAGAAATAGAAAAGGAAGAAGAAATTAAAAGAGCTCAATTTGAAGCTACCAAAACAGAAGAAATTAAAACAGAAATGATGGACATGTGTATGAAAATGTTGGATGATATGGAAGAACAAACAAGAAATGAAATTTATCAAGAAGTTTTAAATGACATTATGTCAAATGGTTTTGGAGATATTTCTGGTTTGAATGAATCAGACGAAGTTAAAAGCAGTGATGACAGCGATGAAGATTTATCTGAAGAGAGTAAACGTAAAATAGAAGAAGAATTGGAACGGGAGTTAGAAAGAGAACTTGAACAAGAGCAGCATAAAAATGAAGAAAATATAACAGTTAACAAAGAAGAACAAACTAATATTGAGCAAGAAGAACCAAGAGAACTAAATAAAATAAGTGATAATGAAAATACTAAACCTAATCAAGTTACTATAAAAGAATCAGATAATGAAGAGGAACAAAAAGAGTTAGAAAGACAAATCCAACTTCAATTAGAAAAAGAGTTACAGGCTGAGATGGATAAAGAAAAGGAAGAACCTCAAAAAAAAGTTCTTTCTCAAGAAAGTTTAACTACACAACAGGAAGAAAAATTAATTGAACAAAACAATGATATACCTAGAATAACAGAAGGTTCTATGGAACCAACAAAAGACCAACAAACAAAAATATCTGATTCAATCAGTAATTTAGAGTCAGTTGATTCTTCTAAAGAAAAACCAATAACTTCGGAATTACCAACAAAAGAAAGTAATGAGTCAACAACTTTAGAAATAAATAATGAAAATAAAAAACCAACTATAACTCATAGAAATAGTCTTAATAACTTATCAAATATAGAAGAAGATAATTTCGATGAACAAGAAACACAAAAAGATGGCACTCTTCAACAAAGTAAAGTAAATAGAGAAGACACTAAGAGAAGAAAATCTGATAGTGCTAATATTAAAATTGAAATGTCAATACTAGAGTCAGAAGGTGATTTAATTCGAACAGGTATCAGACCAAATAGAAAGACTGGAAGGCAAGCTCCTACTAAGAATTTAATGGAATTTAGAAACTCTTTACCAACTAGTAATGAAGAATCTACTGTTAAAGTAGAATCTCATGAAGAATCAACTGAAGTTAGTAGTGAAGAATCTTCAGTTAAGAAGAGAACCCCAGTTGGTGCAAGGGGTATACCAGGAATGCAAATGGGAGGTATCAGAATGGGAATTCCAGTTGGATTTAATCCTGCTTCTGTTCAATTAAAAGCCACTGGTGGAAGAAGAAAGTCATTTTCTCAACAATTTAAAGAAAAAGTTCAACAACAACCAACAGAACCTCTTGCTATGGTTCAACAACAAGCAGAACAAAAAGCAGAGCAACAACGTCATGAACAAACACAAACTTCAAAAAATGAAAGACTACTCAGAAGAACTGTAAAACAAAATGAAACAAAAGAACAACCTCCTTCAGAACAACTACCTAAGCAAAACACTTTACCACCTAAACCAGCAGCACCAGCTGCTCTTCCACCAAAACATCATCAAAGCCTTAACTCTAAGACAAACTCACAAACACAACACCAAACAACACCAGCCACACCAATGGAACAACCACCAATACCACCAAAACCAGCTCATCTAACAAGTAAAGAAGAAAAGAAGAAAAAGAAAGAAGAAAAGAAAAAAGAAAAAGAAAAGAAAAAATCTAAAAAATAAATCTTTATTTCATTCTTTCGTTTTTATTAATAAGAATTTTGTTTATTTTTTCTTTTGAATTGAAAGAACTTAAAAAAAGGAAATGGTATTTATTGTGTTAATAACCCTTTTCCTATTTGTTAAGGCAGAGATATTTTCATTTTCAGTTTCTTCTACTTCTAGAAAGTTAGTTTCATTAAAAGAATTCTCATATGGAGAAAATGGTGATTTTTATATTGATATAAAAAAAGTTTGTTTCAGTTTTTTTTTGAATAAAAATGTCAAATAAAAATATTTATCCAAAGAATGAATTAGTTGAAGAACAAGACAGTAGTTATACTGGATTTGTATTGTTACCATCAGAATATCCAATTAATGATATTTGTAAAATGACATTGAACGGACAGTTATCAGATGCATCTTCAAAGGGTTATGTATTTTTTCAATTAAAAACACAATCAACACATATAAATGTAAAAAAAGGAACATACAGACTTGTTTATTTTTCATGTGGAGATAAGAAAATAAAAGGATTTAATGCAAAAATTATTCAAGGATATACAAAAGATGGTGTTTATCACTATCTTAGTTATGGTGAATATCCAATGATTGTGATAACAGAATTTTTTGGATTTATTTTATTAGTAGTAATATTATGTGATTTATACTTATTGCATAAACGTGAAATTCATACTATACAAACTCTTATTACAGGGTTTGGCATTATCCTTTTCTTACATCTTTGTTTTGATGTTTTAACATTAAAAGCAACTGACTCTAAAGGAATCTCAAATATTCGATACTTTGACTATATCTTTCGTATAATAGAAACCATGTCATTTTATATAGTTACATTGCTTGTTGCTTCTGGGTGGTCAAGAAAAAGTAAATTCAGTTTTGAACAAAAAAAGATTTTATTATTCTTTATATTTCTTCAAGTCCTTTCAAATATCTTATATCTTATTGCTAAAGAAAATGAATTGGTAAGTACACGTGTAACTTCTGTATTAAGAATGATTGATATTATATGTAGTATTTGTATTCTCTTTCCTTTAATTAAAACGTTAAATTTATTAAAAAAAAATACTGGTACAGAAGTAAAAACATTAAAACAATATCAAAGATTTAGTAGATGTTATTCAATATTACTTACTATTGCTTATTTTAAAATATTACTTGCATATATTAATGATATTGCTTCAACAAGAGAATTTGATTTTATTTATTTATCTGTTGATAAAGCTCTTTATATTATTTACTCAATTTATTTAATGATTGCTTTTAGACCTAAAAAAGTTATTTCATTATCCAATGAACCAAAAGAATTAACGACAGAAAATTCTTTCGATGAAACTAAACAAGAAATTTCTAAAAATACAAAAAGTTATCAACAAGAAGTGTCATTAACTTCTTTTCCTACTGAAATATCTCAAAATGAAGAGATAAAAAGTGTAGTTTTAGTTGATAATAATAAAAATCAAGAAGATAAACATTCAACCACTAGTAATAAAAATGATATTGTTGTTGAGCTTGAATAAATTTACTCTTCTAACTCATTTTAACTCATTTTGTTTTTTAAATTGTTTTGACATTTAGTATAATATTTTTGCATTTGTAACAAAATATTATGGAACACAATTTAAAACGGAATATGTTCCACTCATTTTTTCTCTTTCTTAATACTATTTTGTGTTAGAAATTGTATTTTTACGAAGAAAAAAAAATATTACAATCATTTTATTTTTGAAAGATTAAACCGAAATATATTCTAGTATTTTTTTCTATTTATTAATAGTTTCTTTATTTGACGTTTCTATTCGTGGAGACGCGTGAATTACAAAGAACGAAAAGGAATCCTATAATTGGTATTTAAAGGAACTTATAAATATAATAAATTAAATTTACAATGTCTATACCAACAAAATCAGAATGGGTTCAAGCAGGAGGTCATGGTGGAAGTCACCAGTTAGTTCCAAAAGGTAAATATTTGCTTAAGCCTTGTCTTGCTCCAAGGGTTTGTTTTTTATTTTTATAAATAATATTCAATTTTAGTTGAAAACAAAAAATATGCTAATTTACTGTTTTCATTTGCATTTCCCTCTTTTTATAAAGAGAACAAAACCTAAAGAAAAGCAAAAATAAAATTGAAAAATAAATTTGTGAGAAATTGATAATTAATATTTTTAGGAAAAGGCTTTTTATTTAAAAGTTCAAAATGATAAAGAGTGGAGTAAAAGTGAAATTATTCCAAAGTTTTATGGAATTGAAGAACATGATTTTGGTTATGGAGAATTTGAATTTATTAAAATGGAAAATTTAATGAATCAAGTTAAAAAACCATTTGTTTTAGATTTAAAAATTGGTACACAAACCTGGGATCCAGAAACTTCTTCTAAAAAAATGAAAAAAAGATTGATTGTTGATTCAACATCTACTACTACCTCACTTGGTGTTCGGTTTAGTGGAATGAGACGTAACATCACTGACAAACCTATTTTATATTCAAGGTATTTGTGTACAAATGAAGTTAATACCAGAGATTCATTAAAAGAATATATTAAATTATATTTCTTTGATGGAGAAAAGTATAGAAATGATCTTCTCCCTTACTTTATTCAAAGCACTAATAAAATGATTGATGTAATGAATAAAAAACAGTTTAAGATGTTCTCTGCTTCTGTTCTTTTTGTTTATGATGGTGCTAGTAAATTTGAAGACCAAAAACATGCATGTAAAATTATTGACTTTGCTCATGCTTGGGATGTTACAGAAGAAGAGTGTAATGTAGACGATGGGTTTGTTACTGGTCTTACAACTTTAAATACAATGTTAGAAGAATTACATAGTGAATTTAACTTATTGTAAATTTTATTAAAAATAAAAACTTCTTTTTCTTTTTATTAATTTACTTATTAAATAAGTTACTTGGTTTCTTTTATAAGGGGGTTGTTAATATTCATTAAGTTATTTATTAAGTTCTAATTTAATAGATAATTTTAACAGAAAATTTGTTATATTTTTTTTCCTTAATTTATCCCATTTTTAATTTAGAAAAAGTATGTTTATATTATTTTATACACGAAATATGTTAAAAAAATTTAACACTTAGGTTGTAATGTCAATTAAAGTTATTACTAATAACAATTATACTACTATTTTTTACTAAAACCTTAAATGTGTTTTTAGTTTGTATAATAGAGAAACTGTGACTAAAAAATTAATCAAAAATTATAACTCAGATTGGCATATATATTCTAATTTTCTTTATTTCCAAATTAAATTATTTTATTGTGTTTGTTATTAATTAAAATTTTTAGATAAAATAAAGATAAAGAATATTAATACTATTTCAAAGGAATAAAAAATATTATTAAAATTAATTTAATTAAAGGTGTTTGTTAAATTAAACTCTTTTTAGAAAGTTTTTTAATATATGAATTATTTTTATAACGAATTCAAAGAAGTATTGAAGTATTCTCAAAATCTCAGTTCAAAGCGCTGTTGAAATAAAGTTATATTGTAAATTATAATATTTATATATTAATAATTAAAATAAGGATATTTAACAATGTATAATATAACTATTATTATTATTAAAATGATAATAGTTTTTAAATCTTTTAAGAAATAAAATAAACTTGAAAGTAAATTACTCTTCTAACTTTTTTTTTGATTCAAGAATGACTCTACCTTCTTTCATCCAATATTTTTCTTCAGGGTGATTAGCTTTTTTCCACTCAGGGTATTTAGCAGAAGCCTTTCTTAAATCTTCTACACAATCAGCTACCATTGTTTTTGTTGCTTTATTTACACACCAATGAGGGATCCATCCATTCCAAGCATTCCAACTAAAGAAACTTAATTTAGTACCATCTGGAGTTTTTTCTATTATATAACCAGTTTTAAGACTCTTTGCACGAATAAAATCTTTTTCAACTGGTGCTTTTTCATGTTCAACTGAATGGTTAATAATAATAAATAATGATTTGTCTTCATTAAACCACCAAGACCTCATGTTGACCCAATCACGGTTCTTTATAGTGAATGGCATTTTAACACTATAATATCCTATTTCAGTATTTTCATCAATTTGTTCAATTAATCTTTCTGATTTCATAGATGTATCCCATTCTGTTCTATATGCTGGATCTTGTACAACATCATGAAGTACTTCAGCAGGAATATCATGTAGTGCCATAGTTTTTAATTTGACTTGAAGGATTTCTTCATTTTCTGCCTATGAACATAAATATTAATACGAAGAATTTTTCATATCAAAAATAACAAACATCTCTAAATAACACTTTCGTTCCATTTTTGTCTTGTTTCACTTTCCATCCCTCATCATCATCAAGTATCTTTTTAAATTCCATAAAATCTTCTAATGAAGGGACAGGATATTTTGGATTATTTGTTAGTGTATACACATCCCCGTATAATTGAACCATCCAATCACTCATCCCTTATTTAACTTGAGTACTGTTTTCTAGTTCATGAAAGGGATAGGTTATTTATCTTTCACTCTTGGTGAGTTTTTTCGTCTTTTTTCATTATATCATTTCATTTAAAAAATTTTTTTGTTATTAAAAACAAAAAAATAATATAAAAAAATCATAAAATATTGAAATAATCTAAACAAAAGATTTAATTTAATGACGAGTAAAGGAATAAACCTTATAGGGAAAAGTATTTTGAATGAAGAGACAAAAAGTGCCTTTAATGAAAATGGAAAACAGTGGCAAGTTGAATGTCCAATGTATTTTTATCGTCATTCTTGTGACTTATCTAAACAAGTCATTCAATTAAATAAACACAAATTATTATTTAATGGAGGAGAAATTGATGTTGATGAAATTACTAAATTTGTTATTGAAAAGAAAACAAATGCCATCATCCTTCAAATTCATTGTAAAGACTCTGATGATAATGCATTTTTTTTAATACAACAAGATTCAAAACCATTTATTGACGGATTAAAACAGGTTGGATTAACTGAAAAACGAAGGGCACGTTATGACTCATCTCCAGGAAGTTTCACAGAAAAGGTTGACAGTTATCTTAAACAATTAGAAAATGAAACAAAAGGAAAAAGAGGGAAAGTTGGAATTGAAGGTACTACAACACCTCATAAAGAGACAGTTCAAACAGCTTTAAATGAGTATAAGCATCAAATACCAAAACAACGAAAAGGAATAAAAACTAAAATAGAAAAGAAAGAATTAACAACAGAATGTATTGACCTTGTTGAAGAAGAAGAAGAAGAAATTGATTTGACTTTGCACAATGATTCTAAAAAACCACAACCAACAATTAGTCTAAGAAGAATTACTAGAAAACTATCAAAGGAAATTGATGATAGAGAAGGGGTTGAACTTTTTAGATATAACTCAATTGCTATTTGTGATGTAGATCTAAAACGTGTTAGAGGAGATATGTTAAATGATATTGTCATTAATTTTTATATTGAATTTCTTCAAAACGAACTACAACAAAAACAGTACTACTTTTGTAATTCATATTTCTGCAGAAAATTAGAAAGTGGTAATTTTGATGAATTAGTTCGATGGGTGAAAGAAGACTGGTTCCAAAAGAAGTTTATTTTTATTCCTCAGTATCAAGGAGATGGAAAATCAGGTCATTGGTATTTATTTATAGTTTGCTGTCAACTGTATAAAAAAAGTGAAGAAAAATCTAAAAAATCAAAAGAAAAAATACAGTATAAAAATAATAATAATATTTTTGAACATGATCCTTGCATTCTTGCTATTGACAGTATGCCACAAAATGAATCAAGAGCCGGAATTATCAAAAAATTAAAGAGGTTTATTGCTTCGTTATCTAAAGAAGGAACTCGCCAATTAGATAAATTTGTGGTTAAAGCTCCTCGTCAACGAAATACCATTGATTGTGGTGTATTTATGTTATACTTTATTGATAAAATTGCAAGAACAAATCCCACTACATTATCCGATTTAGAAAACTGTTTGTTATTAAAAGAAGCACTAAACTTTAGAGAAGTTATTGAAGATGCATTGACAATAGCTTCTGTAACACAATAATTGTATTATTTTTTGTTATTTATTACAATAGTCTAAATTAAAAAAGTTTTCAATTTCAAAAGATTGAATCTCCTTGTTATAACATCTCTTCTACATGAAAAGACAAGATTATTTAAGAAAAATAACTTTAATAGAATAATGACTTATACCAATGGAACAACGTAGTATTCAAATTCAGCTTGAGTGTATTGACAAAAAACCAATTAAATTATTTGATAAGTTTCCTAAAACCATTGTAGAAGCTTTAATGTGTAATCAATTTATTAAAGAACCTGCACTAACACTTAAAGATGATAATAAAACTACTATTTCTTGGAAATCATTGATTGGGTCATCTTTTCAATGTGCATACTCATTAATGGACATTAAACATCGATATCCAGTTCGTTCAGAAAAATCAGTTATTTTGTGTATGAATAATTGTAAAGAATCATTTGAAATTTGTTATGGGTGTTTTCTTTGTGGACTCATTCCAATATTTATATCACCAAGAGTTTCAATAGTAGAGATAAATAAAGTAATCCAAACAAGTAAAGTCATAGTATGTTTTTTTGATTATCATCAAAAAAATAAATTTGAAAGAATTCAATCTGATTATGATACTAAAATGGTTGTTGTAGGAACAAAAAAAACTTCGAATCCAACGATTCAATCATATTTAGATTTTATTCGACTGAAAGAAGAAAATGCTGAAATTCAACAACAAAAACAAAAAGAGATACAAATAATTATTGAAAATACAAAACCAGAAGATATTTGTGAAGTTGTTTACATTCCAAATGAAGAAGGGGGATTGAAAGGAGTAATATGGAGTCATAATAATATTATTTGTGAATGTTATTACCTAAATGAACTCTTTCTATTTGGTGAGAAAGAACGTTATTTACATTTCCTATCAAACAGTTTCTTTTTTGAAAGGATTATGACATTTTACATAGCATTAATATTTCGATTTCATATTTTTATTGGAACGCCTGAACTAATGAGGAAAAATGCAAATGGATTGTTTATTTTAATGAAAAAAGTTTATCCAACAATTATTTTAGGAATTCCTCGAATATATGAAAAAATTATTGAAAAGATGAAACAAAAGAAAGGAAGTTTGAATGAATGGGCAATGAAAAATGCTCTAAATGGAAGTTCTCAATTAGAAGATGATGACCATAAACAAAAAAGGTATAGATTTGCTATAAAGATTCTAAAAAGAAATCTTAAAAAGATTGGACTCCACAAAACTCGAATTTTGCTTAATGCTATCAATCCTTTAACAATAGATATGATAAATGAATTACATGAAATAGGGTTATCAGTTTATGATGGTTTATGTCTTCCAGAAACAACAGGATATTGTTGTATCAACAGAAAGAAATGTTATTGTTTACATTCTCTTGGATCAAGCTTAAGCGAAGATATTTCTATAAAAATTGTTCAGGGAAGAATTACTATTGAAGGGCCAATTGTTGCATGTGGCTATACTGAACAAACACTAAATAAAGGTTGGTTCACAGAAACAACATTTTCTAGTATTTTTAAAGGAAGGATAGAAAAAAAAGAACATAACGATTTTATTTCTGTAGAACAGACATTAATTCCATTGATTATTACAAAAACAGGAGAATGGGTATATCCATTACCAATTGAAGAACAATTGAATACAATTACAACAGTTCATTGCTCAATGGTTGTTGGTAATAATGAAAAGTTTATTGGTTGTGTTTTATTCACAACACCACAAGAAGTAGAAACAGAACTAAAAGAAAGAAAGCTCCTTCACAAGAAAATATTGGAAAAGACCCATTCTATGGTGCTTTCCTTAAAGAACGAATAGAAAAAATTAATATGAATTTATCAAAAAGTAATAAACTTAAACGGTTTGTTGTATTAATTGATTCAACTGTAGAACCACCATTAAGTGATGAACAACGTCAACAATTATTAAATAAATATTCGCATCATATAGGACTATTATTCAAGTCAATAAATTAGAAAATTAAATATGAATAATTTTGGTTTTATCACAACTACGAAACTGTTACTGAAGCAATAATAAAATTGAATTACAAGATACTTTCTCATCAAACGAAAATAATTAAAGATCTTTACAATCAAAGAAAGCAATAACGAATAAAAGATTTTATAAACTATTTGTTAAGGTATATATATACAGTTTTATCTTCCTATTGCTCTGTTTCATTTTCTCTAAGTAATGAATATACACTAATAACTTTTGTATCTTTTGGATATTCCAGAGCAAATTCATCAAAATACCCCCAATTTCCACCACAATAATTTGTTGAAGGTAATTGTTTAATTTCGTCTATGATTGGTGATTTTCTTCGTTCAAGTGTTGCTTGATATCGAGGTATTAAATATCTTTTAATCAACTTTGAAGTCATTGACTTTGACGATACTAATTTCTTTGAAGCCTAAAAGATTAATGTGTTTATATTCTCAACATAATGATTTATATAATGAATTCAATAATTATTTTTTATTCTCATAAAAAAATCTGTGTAAAAGAGTTTTTAAACAAAAACAAACAATTGGGGTTACTGATGTAAAATATTCATTCCAATGATCAACAACCTCAAAATAACGATCTTTTGAATCAAAATCAAATTCCCTTGGAATAACTAAATCCTCAACTCTAATAATCTGATTTGCTCTTGTCACAGAATACCACCACCTAGTTGATCTTGGTGGAATAGTTAATGTAACTGTCCACACATGGTTTGTGTTCCAACTCATTTTTCTAATTAATTAATTTTTTTTATCTTCTAAAACAATATTTTTCAAACTTACTCATTCCATTATCAAAGTTCACAATAAGTTCTTCTCCATATTGTGTTATATAATGAATTGATAATGATAGCGTAATTATATGTTCCATGGTGTGTTAATATAAGTCACTTGATTTTGGTCTTTTCAAGTATAAGTACTAAACATGAAGTACTTTTACAAAGACCTTCACTATATTTAGTAATCATTTTCAAAAACTTAAATTTGAATTAATTTTTAGGGTTTTTTATTAACAGTTAACTTTGTTTCCTTCTGTTCTAGCTGACAAGAATCTTAGATATTTTCTTCGTATCTTTCAGTTTTGTCTTCTTTTTTTATTTTCAACAAAATATCAATTCAAAAAATCATTGAATTTCTTTTAATCACTAAACTTTATAAAAGTGAAAGGAAAATACGAGATTGTTCTTCTTTTCATTTCTCCTAGATTTATGGGTCATAAAGAAATATTTAATCCAGGTTTTTCCTTTTAAAGAAAGTTACTCTTATACAAAATGGATCCTTATTGTTATCGTATTTGTCAATTTTATACCTGTGTTAAAGTAACAAATTTGAATAAAACAATCACCCCACTAAAATTAATGAATTTATTTGAACACTGTGGAGATATTGTATCTATCAGAATATCGTTTGTTTTTTTTCCTGTTATCTCTTTTTTATCACTTATAATTAATATAATCTAACTACAATAGAAAGTTATTAAATGGAAATAAATGGGCAATTATCGATTTTGGAGAATCAAAAGCAGTTGAACTTGCTGAGTTATTGTCTGGTTCAATGTTTGAAGATAGATTAATTAATGTATATGGTTGTACTTTAGGAAAAAATGATTTTGACAACACAGAAGACTTTTACTTTGGCAGAAGTTTACCACTATCAACTAAAGAAAAAAATACTCTTAGTGGTACTTCTATTCGTGTTGAATCAGATGGAAATTCTTATTTTATAAACACCTCAAATCATCTCACAAAAGGAAAGAAGTATTTATCTTGTGATAATTTTAAAATTATTTTTAATACTGAAACTGGTATGCTAGAATTACTTGAGGACTTAGAAGAAATGGGGCGTAATAGGCATAAAGAGTTTGAATCTAAACGAACAAAAAGCTTTGATGAGAATTCGATAAATGAAGAAATTTTTAATGACGATATTTTGAACTCTCAATATGAACAGAATTTTGAATTATTAAAAGAAGAGATGAATACATTAGATTGGTGGAGTAATATTGAATTTCCTATTCCTTCTTGTTTTCGTGTGAACAAGTCTTAAATTAAAAGTACTTTTAATTAGTGTATTTGTAATATTGTTTATTCAATTAAAATAATTGAATAAGTCAATCCTTTTAACTCTCAAAATTAAAAACTTTTAAACTTTAAAAAAAGTTAAATCTTGTCATTCTTTAAAAAGAGATCTAACCAACAGAAAACTCAAAAACAATAAAAAATCAAACATGTCTAATAGATGTCCAATATGTAATAAATTTGCTTATGCCGCTGAGTCTTGTAACATTAACGGTACTTTTTATCATAAATCCTGTATGAAATGTAAGGAATGTCATTGTAACCTTTCTATTTCAAGTTATAAACTGTTGAAAGGAACAAACGAGATTTATTGTTCTGTCCATCTTCCTCAACCAAAAAATCTTCAAGCAGCTACAACCATAGAAACAATGACAGCTAAACAATGTCATAGGCCAGAACTTGTAAATAATAATATTCAAGGTGGTGCTGAACAACGAAGAAACCTCCAAGCAACTGATACTCTTGACATTCAATCAGCTCAACGAACTAAAGGGGTATTAGTAAACAGTCAAGTTCGTGGATGTTTTGAACAAAGAACAAATACGGCAAATTGGGAATTGCAGATGTTATGCCATTGCACAATCAAAGTCATCCCAATCACTTGTTATGGTCAAGTCCATGGTGGATCAGATCAAA